ACCGATGCACAAAATCCGTAGCAAACATTGTTGATGGAACCGGTTGAGATACCGTACAGCCCGCCGGTACATCGTCCACGTTTCACTGCCGTATAAAAGAACGGACAGTACCATGGATTTGTACACCATCAGCTTCGTGCCAACGGTAAGCTGATGGTTGTTCCACACTCGGTACTCTAGCTTCCCGAATACCGCCACTACCTTTGACTCGCGGATGCGCAGCTCACATTGTATCTGCTGGTCAGTCGGCACCACACTCCCAAGGCAGCAGAAACGGGAAGTGGTTTCCGATACTTCAGCACCAAAGCTGATTTCTGGCAATATTGAAGATTGCACCTTCGGTGAAGATTGAATTGGACAGAGTTTTGCTTGTATTAATGGTGAGCCCGAATTTGGCCGCCGTCGAAGCCAGAGCACTAGTCATGTGCTGCGACTCATTCGCGCTGTTTGCAGTTAACGCACAGCCGTATTCGAAGAGCAGTATACTTCTCGCACCAACGACGACGGATATTCATCAACCTACCATCAATGCGGTGCTCCACGCGAACACTGTAAGAACAAGTTGCATCAAAAGCACAAGACATTTGCATGGCAGAAGCTGACGCAGCCTTGATTCACACCGGAGACAACTGCAAAGTCATCCGAGGTCCTTCCACTCAGCTGCACCCTCTCTCGCATGCCACTGTGCAGACATTCAAGTAAACTTACGAACTTACGCGGTGAACCAAACTTACCCAACACCAGCCACCATGCCTCGCGGTTCACCGTATCAAATGCCTTAGTGAAACCAACACACAACGACTGGTGTCGTTCTCTACACTTCTCCTGCAACTGACGAGCCGCAAACACCATATTTATAGTGCTGTGACCCGAACGGAATCCACACTGCTCGTCCGGCATGTTAGGTTCCACAACCTGACTGACGAGGCGGGTGCGCAGGATTCGGGCAATCACCTTGCCCACACAATTCAGCAAGTTGACGCCACTATAATTCGTGCAACATTGTTTGCTTCCTTTGGCTTTGTACAGTGGTAGCACAAGCGCATCCTTCAACTCTGGAGGCACCTCCTCCTCAATACATACTCGTTGCACCAAGTGGTGCACCGCAGTCACCAACGTGGGGCCGCCGTGTTTCAATACTTCAGGCGGGATCCGTCGGCCCCTTCACGTTTGCCGTTTCGCAGCTGAGCACCTGCTCTCTGCGTCTCATCCAGTGTCGGCGTATCTGCCAGACTCGACATCACATCGCGCTGTTTCAGGCCATTCATAGTAGGCTTTTCGATCTGTCAACGGTGGTTCAAGAGACAGTGAAAATGTTTTCGCCAGACTTGCATTATGTTTGCAGTCTGTGTGCAGGTAGCGCCAGAACTTCCACCGGTCAGCGTCCTCAGCGGCTCCAACCTCGGTCCATACACTGCTTTCAAGGAGTCAAAGAATTCCTTGTGTTGTCGGCGTTCGAGGTAGCATTCTATCTGCTTCGCCTTCTCCGTCCACTATGCGGTTTTAATTCGACAGAGCTCTCGGGTCAGTCGCCGTCGCCGTTTGCGCAACTGTCTGTTGGTTCACCCACCAGCTGGCTATGGAGGCGATCTAATCTTGCAAATCCGACCCAATGTTCACGTGGTGCTAAGGCGGCGTTGCCCACCTAGTAGAATGTGTAGCCAGTACCTGCTTCATGAAACTTACCTTGCTCAGCGATCTGGGTTTCACTGAGCGCGCAATATCGGTGTTGTAGCGCGCCAGTTCCATCGCGACCAGTGCAGTGCGTCGCTCAGGTTGCTCGCTGGAGTTCCGGTCCAGTAGTGCACACACATTCCAGCATCCGATGCTGAGTGCTTTGCGCGCAGGCATAAGATTGCATTAGTGGGGAATCGCACGCGAGGTGGCGGTTGTGCTACGGAAGTTTTCCTGAGGGATTCCACTCGGAGCCTTTGGCGTAATAGCCTGACCCACAAGGCAGTGGGGAGCAGATCCAGCTCGGGAATGTGATTGTAGAGACAAATTGGGATCTGCTTGAGGTCCGCCACACGCACCCTTTGGAGATCTGGAACAATTCTTATATGTTTTGCGACCGTAATGGTATACGCAGCTGCGGTCACGGCCAGACGCAGGTGGGTTTTGGCGGGTTTGCGCCAATTTGACCAGGAGCTGTCTGGCTTGTGGCGGGCAGTAACAAACCATTGAGCACCCGTAGGTACCATAGGTAATGCGCAGCTTTTGTGCTCTACGCCAATCGAGCTGTGAGCTTATAACTTGTAGACCTGTTGTCTCCCATGGCTAGGCTTTACGGGAAGAGGGCCATCGACCACTTCCTAACCTCCTAAGAGGATGGACTAGGATACTGGCTGGGTGCCCACAACTGACAGGAGAACGACACGGGTCTTCAGCCAAAGCGTTCGATTAAATGAACACCCGAAAGGCAGCGCGTCTAAAACATGGTCAGTTCACTGACTCATGCAGATTGGTGTCCTAGGTCTTAGCAGGGAGAAGGGCGTAACTCAACTCCCACCCAGTGGTCGCCACGAGGAGGCGTCCAGGACATGAGCTAATGACACAACGGTAGCAGCATTGGGTAGACCGTCTGTCAGCATCTAGACACCATCAGCCTCAGCGCAATCTTTTCTCTCCCGCGTTATATATATATATGTATATATATATGTATATATATATATATATATATATATATATATATATATATATATATATATATATATATATATATAGTTGAATGCGCTGCACTATTTGATACAAGGTGTGTGAATTGTAAAGGATATGCCGGTTGGTCTGTAGGATGGTCTTGTCTATCACTGTACATGGGCAAAGGAAGCAAGCAACGTGCCGCGAATTATCGTGCCATCAATATGCTAAGTTGTGTGGGTAAAGTGATCGCCCGAATCCTTCTCAATTTCCTCGTCACCCAGGTCGTTGAATCGAACTTGGCGTAAGGGCCAAGGGGTTTCTTTTCGGGCCGCAGCACCATAAATAAGATTTTCGCGCTTCGTCACTTGCAGCGAGTGGCACCAGCCATTGTACTTGCTGTTCGACCTCACTAATGCTGTTGTCTCAGTGACTGCAATGCCCTGTATCTGCTGTTGGGTAAGTTTTGTTGTCCGAGTAATTTTGTAGATTTTATTGATTGTCTGCACAATGTGTGCGGGTTAGGGTGCTGCTGAGTGCACAAACTAATGACTTTCCTTTTGTATCTGGTGTAAGGCTATGTTTTAACCTCTGCATTATTTCTTACTTACCCCTATGCAACGATGTCTCGTACTTTTGATGCTGCTTGTTTTTACAATGTCCGTGTGGAACCCCGTATTGATGGTGACTTGCTGAACATCCGTCGTTTCAGCGCGAGAACCCTAGGGTGTGACCCAACCATCCGTGTTGCTGTTTGCGGACGACTGTGCGTTGTTTGCAGACAGTGCAGATGGCTTGCAGCACATGACTATTGGTCTGGCACCGACAGCGACCAAATTCGGGTTACTGTCAAGGCTTTTGATCTTTTTCAGCTTTCACCAATAATAGTGTCCGGGAGCTTGCCTCAAATCCAGGTTACTGATGACGTGTTGGAGTCATCATCGATATTTTGCTACCTTTGGAGCGTATAAGCCACCGGGCTGATGAGGAAGCTGCGCGTCCGCATATCGATGACGGCTTCTGCGTTTGGCAAACTGGAGAAACCTGTGTGGAACAACCGGCTTATCGTTGGCACGAAGCTGCTGCTATGCAAGATTATGAGGCTGTGCGTTCTTCTATGCGGTAGCGAAACTTGTCCGATGTATCGGAAGGCCGTCACGTATCTTGGGCGGCTTCATCAACAGTGTCTGCGCCGGATTCCACACAACGGCTTGGGTGACCGGGTTGCAGATAGGGAAGTGCTCCACCGTGTGGCATGTATGTATTAGACTGCGTACTTCTGCTGGGGCATATCAGTCATATGGATTCGTTGCGGATACCCAACTTAGTGGAGGGAAGCGGCACAATATAATACCGAAACTACGTTACCAGGACATGATCTAGTTGAGTTTATCACTAACTATTGTTGATTATACGTGTTAGAAATCAGAAGCGGTCAATCGTTGCGAACGGTAAGGACATGTCAAGTTGGCGGTTGCCCAGGTGCACGCGAATGCACTGCTTTACGGGAAAAAACCGCCGGGTACTGATGCGACAGGTCGTGAGTACTTGAGCCAAGCGGGCCTGGTAATCCACCTGCGTTGCCACGCTTAGCCTGCTTGTGAAAGACGACGACTCAGCTGATTATCTAGTCAGCATCAGTGCTGCATTGGTAAGTACGCTGCGTTCGCTTCAATTCGATTAACTAACCCAGGTCAATAAAGGCGTTGATGTGCTAAATGGGCCGCATCGCCGATGTAGTTAGTCTGTACGTCTGTGTGCCTGCGTCTCGAGTTTCTTGCATATCAGGTGTAGGCTGTTGCTTGATATCCCCGGTGTCGCGGCGTTTGATGTGAATGTTGACAAGGCGTCAACCTGTCTATTACCCTCCACCTTGTGTACACTGGCTGCAGAAGACAGTTGATTGTTGTTGGAGAGGGCGGACTGCACGGTTCTCATTGCCGTGGTACTCTCAAAGATTGGTTTCATGCATCCCGTTTGGAACGGGCTATGACCCAGCCACAGCTTTGTGTACATCTGGTACACATGATTCCCAACTTAGCTGTGAATACTTCTGCCTTGTTTGTTGCGATAGTGTGGGAGTTTTGCGTTGCTGAACTATGGCTCCCATCCACATGCCCCCGGTTTTATTCTTTCTGGTTTACACTGGATGGAACGGTGGGTGTTACAACTCAAGTCACCCATGGTTGTAGGCGTCCTGTGGGTTTCCCTGTGAAGAGCGCAGTGACAGTCACGGATGCCGCCATCTATTTATTATATATATATATATATATATATATATATATATATATAATTAATGTTATTTATCCTCATTGTTTTTGTTCCTGTTGTCTGGCCGACTGAACGATTCTTCTCTGTTCCAGGCTATAACTCGATTCAGCTTATGGCAATTATGGAACACGCTTACTATGCTTCCTTTGGATATCAAGTGACCAGCTTTTTTGCCGCCTCCAGGTAGGCTTTTGCCTTATTTCGTACCACAATAATGTATTTTCCCGTACACATGCTCTCCAGCCAATGCACAGTTTTATCGAATTCCTATCGCCATCCACTCTTATCGCCTAGCCGTTACGGAACGCCCGAAGAACTACGTGCTCTGGTTGACGAAGCTCATAGACTTGGTCTCCTTGTGTTACTGGACATTGTACATAGTCACGCGTCAAAGAATACGAATGATGGTCTCAACGAATTTGACGGGACAGATGCCTGCTATTTCCATGCTCGGAGTAGAGGCGTCCATGAGCTTTGGGATTCGAGACTCTTCAATTACACGGAGTAAGTTATTTTTTCGATTGACTTCTATATTTGCCTCTCTAACTATTTTCCCAATGATAGATATTGAATAACACTACGCATTCAGCATATTATCTTTTTAGATTGCATTTTTCTGAATCCACTTCATGCTGAGCACGTTTCTTTTGTCTGCTAATTTCGAGGAAAATGTACGCATTTTGCTTGGGTTCTGTCCTAGTGCCAGTTACGCGACGACACACTGTTGCTTGTCCTCCGATTATCTTGCTGTTTCCATGCGGTCTCCCTAACTATCTACGAGCTGCGAACGTCTGCGACTGACTTCACCACAGTACTAACCACCAAATAAGGTGTAGAAATGGTGAAAGGTGAAACTTCATACGAAACAGGTATTCACAGATATTCATTGACCAGATCACTCTGACTTGGTTACATTATGCGGATATTCGGCAGTGATCCACGCCTCTACTACAGCTTACGCGTAGCCCCTATCAGCAAAACGACACGTGTTTGAACTTAACTTATCCTTCCTGTATTTTTTGCTTTTCTGCTCTGTATTTCACCAACCACATCAGGTTTTCACCTTGTTTACGCAGTGCTATCAAACCATACGCTCTGAGGCCTGCAGTCCACTGATCTGTGAAGGGCACGGACTAAACAATTTAGGCACCCCAAATTCAATCTTTTATCCAGTACAGCATAAGAAAACCTTTTACCAGACGCTAGCTGATGGATTTCAGCGTTGTTAATTCCTTACTCAAATTCCCTGCTTGTATGCGCGAACATTCCTGTTCTTCCTGTTGTTCTTCCTGATAGAAAAGGGCAATACTTCACTGGCGTCTGTCTGCTAAAGCTCCTTAATCTTTCGTTTCCAACACGCACCACCATTGTCTTTTATCCTTTACCATGATGATGAACGCATTGGTGTATTGTGCATTGAGCTTATCTTCCGACGACTGCGGTACTTCGAAGTCATACCAAACTGGTGCATATCTTAACCTGGATACCCAAAACCATGAAACCATTTCAACTGATTGGTCATTGTCATTGAGAACTGATGTATCGACATTTCTGCAGCAGCGATAATGCCTGGGTTAGACACGGCGATCCGTTGTCTTAAAAGTACAGCGCCATCCACGGCTCTAGTCATGAGCTTCATCCTCAACCACTGCTATATTGTGGCTTATTTGTATGAGGCCACCGATTCTTCAACGCGGTCTGTCTGATATACCCTCTCACCTTACCCTATGTTGTCCACCGTCTTGTCTTTATCATGTGATTTAACACTTGGTCAGTTTTTGTTCTGACGGCTCTACGCCGTATAAACTGCAGTTACAACACTGGCGACGGAGATGGCCAACCTTTCACAGCTAACTCAGTTATTACAACCACAGCGAGATTATATCCAGCAACAACAGCGGACCATGCTACAACAAGAACAAAAACAGAAATCTTTGTTCTAAGCACTCACAGAGAAACTCTCATCCATAAGTCTAATACTAACCGCAGTAGAAACCGAGTCCACTTCAGCTGAAGTGTTGACGGACGGAATGTAGGATTTTCAATATGATGCATAGGATGACGTCACATTCGCAACCTGGTACATGCGGTATGAAGACATTTTTCTGCTGGACGCGATCACATTTGATGATGCGGCCAAATTACGGAAGTTGGGCTCAAATGAACACAACCAGTACAGTAGCCTCATTTCACCGAGACATTCTTGCGAATACAATTACCAGGAGACTGTCGATACCCACATTTCCATTTTTGGTAAAACGTCATTAGTGTTTGAAGCTGATCAAAAATCAGTCCAATGACTATGTTTTCTACGCGAATAGGGTGAATCATTTAAATGACCGTTTCATGCCCAATCAACTGACAGACGATCAGTCATAGTCACTCATTTTTTATCCGACTTAACCTCTACAACTGACAAGTCTGTTATCCAAACTAGACTCATTTCCAGAGTACACCATCCAGGACGTTAGTGCAAAGCATTCACCTAAACTGACTCACAAATGTTACACTCGAGGCAATTGAAATCAGAGATGGGGATGGTTGACACAATTACTACCCGCACACCGATGGTACACTATAACACAGACGGACTACGACCCTACGTCCTTGTTGGAATTGTGGTAAGTGGCATTTTGCCGGAAATTATCCGTTCACCAGTGCACCGTCTGCCACAAGAATGGTCATAAAGAAATACATGGTCCATCAACCGCACGACCTCTTTATCGTGCGGTGATTTGGAACGGTGTCAGCAACTCGGAATCAAATGCGACTTCTAGTGTGTATGTGCGACTACACAAGGATAATTTTTTTCGCTACGTAAATTCACCGCCGTTACTTCAAATTATCAATCAGTGCGCCTACCATCATCTCTAGTCCGACTTGCTTGGATATCGGTGGACGCATTCTATGTAATGCGCAAAACTATGCAAGGAGTGCATTGAACAGTACCCTACGGCGATATGGAAAATTTATCTCTGAATATGTTTACAAAAGAACAAGCGATATGGTGTCTCACATTTCTGACAACCCGGGACTGAACCTGCTTGCTATAGATCGATTCATCTCGATAAGCTTGTGAAGCGTTCCTTTTAGATCTCTGCGATCCAAGTCCGGACACTTCATCACAATTCTAGTAGCGCACAGTTCTGCACTCACCAACGTTTTACCGAAACTATTCTCAGAAGTTTGAAGCATTGAGTTCCCTGTAGTAACTTGAATAGATCAATAAGAAGACGAATGTTGCAAGATGGTACCATTACGTGTCCTCTGTTCACTTGCAAACGGGCAACATATCAATTGATAACATAACAAAAAAGTACAATTCTGTAACATTCATCATCTTATTGTTCTATTCAAATTCCCAGCAGTGTTCAACTCCATACTTGACTGTCTCACTGAACTAACGGCGTCTGTGTATTTAAAAAATGGCGTAAAGCCTGCTTCCAACCCGAAAGATAGGTGTCACATGCTTCTCTTAAGTTGCTTGATGATGAATTGGCTGCTTTGAAGCAATCAGGGGTGATATCCCAACTGGATTCCTCTGGCTGAGCAGTGTCTAGAATGGTATCGATAAACACAAGCGGAACCATTCGTTTATGTGGAGATTTTTCAACCTGCCTGAACGCAGCACTGTATCTCCATCAATACCCGCTGCCACTATCGGGGATCTTTTCGCCAGAATCAAGGTAGTCGCACTTTTTCAAATATTGATTCCTTGGATGCCTGTCTTCATTTGGCACTCGATAATGACGTACATCATCTTCTTACAATTAATAATAATAATAATAATAATAATAATAATAATAATGTGTCAGCTGTACGCCGTAACGGCGCTTCGCTGCCCGCGACCACCACCGGTTGCGCGCAGGCTGAGTATACTGCGCGTTCGAACCGATGACCTTATGGTTGCAAACCAGACGCGCAGACCACTCGGCCACCGGTTGACTCTTACAATTAATACCCACCTTGGCCTGTATCAATGCAGTCGGCTGCCGCTCGGAGGGAACGCTGCCCCGGGTCTTTTTCTACAACTGATGGATACGATACTGACGGACATGCCATCACTTTGTGCATATTTGAATGATATTATCGTCGCATCATCATACAGAACCCTGCACAACGGCCACCTCCAGGTAATTAATCGTCTACTGGAATATGGTCTGACTCTGAGATCTGATGAATGTCATATATTTAGGCCTCAAACAAATACCTTGTGGAACACTAATATGAAACAAGCATGTGTTTTTAGCGATTCATCTCCGGGCCAGTGCACATTACATAAACACAAAATACAAAGGGGTGGATGGTGATAAGTTCAGAGGTTGGTTCCGAAATAAGCAGGTCACTGGTTGGACAGGAAATAGTTCGCCGCTGTCTCATTCACACTGATCAATTGGGGTTACGTAATCACAGTGCCTGGATCCGATATCTGAACCATATCCGGCAATTCACCGTAGACCCTGACAAGGTCTGCGGTGTTCGACTACAGATCATGTGAAATGTTCACATACTTCGTGGGAACACATTTCCACATACGTATTTTTAACAGAATGAATCGATCGACTTAGTGGAACACACTTTGAAGTTGAGAACCACAACTATTGTAGGTCTGCGGTACATGTGGCACTGCTCTAGCACCTGCCGCAGAGTGAATGCGTGGGATACACAGCCACGTCCTAGGCAGGAACCTGCTTGTTCTTTGCTAATTCGGGATTCCTGGTCCTCCTTGAGGTGACGAACCAAAATTGAGGCTCGTAGTTTTGTCCCAACTGGCGTTAGGATAGTACCCCTGTGGTTAGCATAGTCGATGCGACTGCCCTTCTTGGATATCGCCACTATCATTGATTCATTCCAGTTACCTGCGATGGCCTCTGCCTTTCAGACCTGTTCGAAAGCAATTTCAGTGCTCTGTAGAGAACCTCACTACTATACTTACATAGTGCAGGTGGGAGGGGATTCGAGCCAGCAGCACGAAAACGATTAAGGACTGTGATCGCGTTTCGGTGCTCAGCTTCCGATGCAGCCTCTAAACTAACCGTCCATGGCTCGTCCTGTATCACCTGAATAGGAAAACGTCCGAGAGCAAGGGGCCAACTGAACTGCTCTTGAAAGTGTTCCACCCAACGAGCCACACGGCGCTCCTTATTATGGATCGGAATTCGCGCTGTCTCTGAGTGTCTTGCTGATGCCTTGTTTTCTGGGACCAGTGGTGCTGATCGGCTAGAAGAGCTTGCGAGAATTGCGTATTGCTCCAGCCTCCACTTCTTGAATCCAACTGGTCTACCAGGCTTCCTTGTTAGCACGCAGGCTCCGCTTTAGCTTGCTCGTCTGGTAACATTGTGCTCATAGCCAGTCGAAAGTTTTCTTATCCATTCCAGCGGGTTCTCTGACCTCTCGGATATCCAGTGACTGATGTGATAAACATTGATAGTGTCGCAAGCAGAAGCTCTCGCATCGTGCTGAATGTCATTGGGAATGGAGTCGTAAGTTCTGTGCAGAATTCATCCTGGTACGCTTGCCTGACCGAAGGACGGGACAATTTCTCAGTTGTCAACCGAGGGAGGTGCTTGGCACGTCTCCCAATAAAGTTTACAGAAAAGGAGGACTTGCCGAACCATGATCACAGTCGATGCAAGTGTTCCAGAACGTGTGACAATCCAGGGTGAAACCACTCCACATGATATAACTGGGTTCATCGCTGGCCAATCGCAGCGGCACTTCGGCGCCCACTGTGTCTAAAAGCGATAATACTAAGAAACAACCGGTGTTCCGCACACAGTTGCAATAAACGTTCGCCGTTGTCCGTCCGGTAGTAGTTAACTCTATACCTACCATCTAGTTTTGTTTCAGAAGACCCCAGCCGGCCTACTTTCTCATTCATATACCCATGCAACAACAACGATATCTGAACTGGTAGCATTATGAAGCAGCGTGTTCAGTTCGTGGTAGAAGGTGTCCTTAGTAGCATCGGAGTTGCGGTCGGTGGAGGTATAAGTGGAAACCGCAAGCAAACAGCGTCTAGTATCACTTCGTGAATTAACTTCATTTGATGTCATCTAATTGAATGCACACAAACGGCTGCGCACACTAGTCCATTCAAGCAACGATGACTCCGCTTTAGAGCTGAGAATTATGCCCACCCTAGCTTGATTAGTGGTTGCCGCATCAGCGTCTCCGGATGCGTGCAACCAATAGCGACAGGACAAGCCGGGCACAGTTACTTCAACAACACCGTGATAGTCATCGATTCTGGTTTCGGATGCACAACGCGCTCAATACCCAGTATGTCCAACGTGCGTGCTAGTGCAGCCTGTTCACCTGTTTGCCTTAAAATGCGAACGTTGAACGTCGTTAAGGAAACGAGACAGTGTGGCCTTCTAAGTGACTGTTGGCGGCTGGCGTCCATCGGCTGCCGTCCATCGGCTGCCGCGTAAATATAGCTACACATAGTAAAATTCCTTCCGTCTTCTCTTGACTATGGAAGTAGGGTAAGTAATGGGGATCGGGAGGGGAGCTAGAGAAACTGGTGGAAAAGAAAAGAGGCGCTTTAGCAGTAGCATGTTCGCTTATCTCCTCTGCTGTATGCGGTAGATAAGACGACCCTTGATAATCTGCGCGAGCACCGCTGCAGGATGTGTTTGTTGTCTAAGGAAATAGTCTTGATTGTAGGTGGGCCAATGTGCCTAGAACTCGGCTGGAGTACGATTTGGATCTCTGTGTTTTTCTCCCCCATTCCTGTTTTCCTGGAGTGCAGGATACGGTCCTAGTGATCGGAAAGGTATAGGCTGTCTTCAAAGCCAACCAAAGCCATAGTTGATATTGCGTGTCGTATTCTAAGATGCGCTGCGGGTACTCCCAAACCCGACAATCAACCATCAGGAGCCTCGACCAAAGCGTTTGGCTCAAAAGCCTATCCACAGGCAGCGTGGAGATGGCAATGATTTGGCTTTACAGAATTGGACGCCATCGCGTCTCCAGCTCCCAATCTGGGGGACCAGGAGACTGATTTCATTTGGCGCCGAACCATTTGCCAACCTGGTAAAAGAAGCTTTAAAGGTGCCCAGGAGCACCACCCGGTATACCTCAGTTGGTCGACGAGGTACGTATACCATCACTCCGCGTTGCGATCTAGTGTCTGCGACGAAGTAATAACACTATGGGAACACTGGCCGTAAATTTGCTTAGTCCTATTAAGCAAAACTTGCATGCTACCTAGTGAACTCGATTGTTTTCGTGCTCTAATTTGGTCACTCGACCAACCAGTCCCTTCGGTAATGGCCGATAGGACGGAGCCGTTAATTGTCATTTCTGCCACATTTTAACTGTAAACGGAGCGATGGGTATCTTTGATGTAGTCCATTTGCCGTATTGACTTCAGTGTTGGGCTTCTTTTATAGGTTTGGCGCTATCCCAAGTGGCGCCATGGAATTTTGAATTGAAGAACATCTCTTGGATGCTCCTTTTCTGAATCAAAAGCTGGCTTAATTAAAGGAATACGATCTCGGCAAACTGCCTGTACTTGTAATGTTCCTGACAAACTTCCCGCTTGTTCGTATACTCAATGCACCATTTGCTGGAAGTGCTATCATCCATGTTTTCGCGCACTCCACTCTCAAGACGGATACTGAACGATGAAATTGCACCATATATGGATGGTTTGGACGATTTCCACCAGGCATTTGGTCGCTTTCAGAGTCTGAATTGATCGTTATACCCACTTGTTTGCGGTAACTTGAAATGTTAGCACTTTTGTGTTCTTCTTTCACATTTCACAAGCCTACCTCTGATCTCATGGTGGGATGCTCTTTTCCATACACACTGGGAAGCAATTCTGTCAGCATCATACTTCACGCACTTATTAAGCTCAGTTTCACCAGACTACAAAAGATCAATCTTATGTTCTACTGTCCCACCGAAGCAGGAAGCAGGTGGCCCATTATTTTAAAACCACAACCCACTACGCTGCTACCAAACCACTCATACAGGTGCTGTATTTATGGGAACCTTCAGTTTAATTACACTCGTGGATGCGTTATTGTGTCGACATAAGCCTGCGCTCAGTACATCCCTACTCAGATGCACTAGGACCAACAGATTTGTGTCACTGTGTGCGTGTATCTCCCCTGCGCACACGATAAGGCTGTGACTACTGGGAACCGACTGGCCACACTTTCCGAGTGTCCCTCATCTTAATGCATTTTACCTACTTCCTATCCTGCATCCAGGTACTATGTTATTAGTTTAAATGAAAGTTAGTGTGAATCGGTGTAGGTATGGTCTGGCTCGATGATCTTTTCAAGTTTCTCGTGGTACGATTTCTTGCTGTGGACTTACTAACCATAGATTGCGTTACCACGAGTTTTATTTCGCTTCTCCTTCAGACTGGAAGTTCTCCGCTTTCTCATGTCAAATCTACGTTGGTGGATTGAAGAGTATGGCTTCGATGGCTTCCGCTTCGACGGAGTTATGTCTATGCTCTATCACCATCATGGCTTGTTTACCAGCTTCTCAGGGACCTACGGTGAATACTTTGGCCTTTCTGTGGACACAGAGTCGTTGACCTATTTGATGTTGGCCAATCACTTCTTGCACCAAAAGTATCCATTTGTGATCACGATTGCTGAGGTGCGTTTTTTTGCGATTGCCGTCGTCACTGTCCTAACTTTTTGGTTCTCACCACTTCATGCCACTGGTGAAATGCTGCAAAACGTCTCCCCTACGCAAACTTCAAAAAAGCTCGTAGACCTTGCGATGACCTTGCTGGTTATTTAAATTCCGAGACGTTGCAGCCATATTAGCGCTCATGGGATTGAAGATGAGGTCACGAACCGGCTAGCGAATCCTTGGGGTGCTTTTACCAATCTCCGCCACCTGTGGCACCGACGTGATCACTCTCGCTCTGAATGGCAGAGTTTACGATGCAGCTGTCCATCCAACCCTACTGGGAAGTTGCGAAACCTGGCCCCTCAAGTTGACAGGCATACAGAGGCTAGTGATGTTCGATCATCCTTGGCTTCGCTGCTTAGCTCACGTCTAATGGGAACACCGAGTGAGCAGTGAGCGTGTTCGGCGTCCCGTATTTGATGCAGCAAAAGTTGGTGAACCGCTCAGCATTATGTATCACGCACCAAACTCCAATGACTAGGGGAATAAAGTCCCTAAGTTCGAAGTTAATATCGGTTGGTGTATCTCTCGACTATCGGACTGGGGTCCAAAGGGCGATAAATACATTTGCTTAGATACATTTGTTGCCACGGCAATTGGCCGATCTCAGTGGCGTTCGTGTCGTGTCTCTTTGTCTCTCCCCTTTAGCTTTCCCCTCCATCAACGATCTCAACCCAAATGTATACTGTGATTTTAGCATTATGTTACTTTGTTTGCATTTACAGTCCGTTATGTTTAATCATTTATCTTTTTCTTTTGTGGCATATTAGCAGAGGTATGTTTCCCACCCTCGGATAACGTGTATTGACGTTGGTGATGAGAGGTCGCAAATTTTAAACCTATAATTTACTTATTCTATCCCATGCAGGAAGTGAACTGTCGAGTATCCAGATGTCAATATTTCTACCTTTGTTAGGCGGGCAACTAAGTACTTAGTCTCTCTGCTGTAACAATCCCACTATACCCGCGCATGGGCGCGAGAGCCTGTGGTTCGCTGAGGCTGGTGGTGGCTAGATCCTGACAGATGGTCTACCCAATGCTGCTACTGTTGTGTCATTGGTTCATGTCCTGGGCTGCTCCTCTTGGCGACCGCTGGGTGAGAGCTGGGTTACCCCCTTCTCCCTGCTAAGACTCAGGACACCAATCCGCATGAGTCAGTGAACTGACCATGTGATAGACGCGCTGCCTTTCGGGTGTTCATTTAATCGAAGACTTGGGCTGAGAATCCGAGTCGTTCTCCTGTCAGGTGTGGACTCCCAGCCAGTATCCTAGTTCATCCGCTTCGGTGGTTTTGAAGTGGTCCATGGCCCTCTTCCCGTAAAACCTAGCCATGGGAGACAACAGGTCTACGGGTTATAAGCTCACAGCTCGATTGGCGTAGAGCACAGGCGCCGCGCATTGTCTATGGCGGTGGGAGGACACCTACGGGTACTCAATGGTTTGTTACTGCCCGCCACAAGCCAGGCAGTCCCTTGTTAAATTGGTGCAAATCCGCCAATACCCACTTGCGTCTGGCCGTGGTCACAGGTGTATCCTACTACGGTCGCAAAATATATATAAACCGTTCCAGAACCTCAAAGGGTGCGTGTGACGGCCATCAAGCAAATCCCGATCTGTCTCTACAATCACGTTCCCGAGCTGGATCTGCTCCCCACTGCCTTGTGGGTCAGGCTATTGAGCCAATGGCTCCGGGTGGAGTCCCTCAAGCAAACCATTGAAGCACAACGACCACATCGCGTGTGATTCCCCATCAATGCAACCTTATGCCTGCGCGCAAAGCACTCAGCATCGGGTGCTGGAACGTGTGCACACTACTGGACTGGAACGCGAGTCAGCGTCCTGAGTGACGCACGTCACTAGTCCCGATGGAACTAGAGCGCTACAGCACCGATATTGCGCGCTCAGTAAAACCCGGCTCGCTGAGCAAGGTAGTTGCATGAAGCAGGTGCTGGCTACACATCCTACTAGGTGGGCTAAGCTGCCTCAGCACCACGTGAACATTGGGTCGGATTTGCAAGATTAGATCGCCTCCATAGCCAGCTGATGGGTGAACCAACAGGCATCAGCGCGGAACTGATGACTTTCGCCTACGACTGGGAAGTGGTAAGTTTACCACCTTTATAAGCACGCAGGGTCCGACCATGTGTTATCTTCATGAAGCGCGTGATCAATTCTACACTCAGCTATCACTCGTGATACGGTCTGTGCCGAGGAGCGATCGACTATTTCTGCTGCATGATTTCAACGCTTGCGTTGGGCATGATGCATCGGTGTGCACAGATGTTATCGGTTCGCATGGCATTAGTTCAGCGAAAGCGAACGTTGCCAGGCTGCTCTCACTGTGTGCCACTCACGGCCTGACGATCACGAACACTCGGTTTGCACTGAGTGCGAGTGATTTAACAACTTAGAAGCACCCACGGAGTAGTCACGCTCACCTGCTCGACTATGGTATCGTACGTCAGCGTGATATGCGTGAAGTGCGCATGACACGTGTACTGCGTGGAGCTGAGTGTGGTACTGTGCACAAATTGGTAGGGACCAAAATACACATAGATTTCCGTAAACCTAAATATTGCACTTCTTCCGTAAATCAGCGTAAATTTAACATCCTCTCCCTCGGTACTGTGGAGAAAGGTGTTGAGCTGGAGAAGGCGATGGCTGTACGCCAGTGGAATGTGGACTACATAGCCACAGTGGGCGACCTGTGGCACCACATTCGTGACCAGGTGACAGTTGCTGCTGAGGAGACCATCAACCGCGCAAACTGTAAGCGACCCGAATGGTTTAATGAGAACAACGCAAAGACTGCGCGTTGGTGCCAGAGAAGAACGCATCATTTGCTGCACATGTAGCAGACCCCAGTGACTTGCGGAAGAAGATAAAGTTGCGCAATCTTTAACGATGACTGAGATGAGAGCTTCGTCGCACTAGAAACGCATGGTGAACGAAGAAGGCGAAGCAGATGAAAGCTACGCCGAACGCCGACGACACAAGGAATTCTTTGACTCCTTGAAGGCAGTGTGTGGACCGAGGTTGGAGCCGCTGAGGACGCTGACCGGTGGAAGTTCTGGCGCTACATGCACACAGACTGTAGACATAATGCAGGTCTGGCGAAAACTTTGACTGTCTCTTGAATAACTCGTTCAGAGATCCACAAGCCCGCTTTGAGCGGCCTCAAGCAGCACGATGTGAAGGCGAGTTTGGCGGACACGCCGACACTGGATGAGACGCAGAGAGCACTTGCTCAGCTACGAAACGGCAAATGTGCCGGGGCCGACGGGATCCCGCCTGAAGTATTGAAACACTGAGGACCAGCGTTGGTGACTGCGTTGCACCACTTGGTGCAAAGAGTATGGATTGAGGAGGCGGTGCCTCCAGAGTTGAAGGATGCGCTTGTGCTACCACTGTACAAGGCCAAAGGAAGCAAACAATGTTGCACGAATTATAGTGGCATCAACTTGCTGAGTTGTGTGGGCAAGGTGATTTCCAGAACCCTGCTCAAGTGTCTCGTCAGTCAGGTTGTGGAACCTAACATGGCGGAAGAGCAGTGTGGATTCCGTTCGAGTCGCAGCACTATAAATATGGTGTTTGCGGCTCGTAGGTTGCAGGAGAAGTGTAGAGAATGACACCAGCCGTTGTACTCGCTTTGTGCCGATTTCACCAAGGCATTTGATACGGTGAAACGCAAGGCATTGTGGCTGGTGTTGGGTAAGTTTCGTTTCACGCGTAAGCTTGGTTGTTTAATTAAATATCTGCACAATGGCATGCGGGCGAGGGTGCAGCTGAGTGGAGGGACCTCGGATGACTTTGCAGTTGTTTCTGGTGTGAAGCAAGGCTGTGTCTTAGCTCCTGTGCTGATTAATGCAAATCTTCATGAAATGTTGTCTTGTGCTTTTGATGCTTCTTCCGCTTACGGTGTTCGCATGGAGCACCGCATTGATTGTGGGTTGCTGAACATCCGTCGTTTCGGTGCCAGAACTCTAGTCTGTGGGACAACTATCCGTATGTTACGGTTTGCTGACGACTGTGCGTTGTTTACACGCAGTGCGGATGAGTTGCAGCATATGACTAGTGCTCTGGTTTCGACAGCGGCCAAATTCGGGCTCACCATCAACACAAGCAAAACTGTCTGTCTCTTTCAGTCTTCTCCGGAGGTGCAATCTTCAATATTACCGATAATCAGCTTTGGTGCTGAAGTATTGGAAACCACATCCCGCTTCAGCTACCTTGGGAGTGTGATGTCGACTGATCAGCAGATACACTGTGAGCTTCGCATCCGCGTGTCAAAGGTAGTGGCGGTATTCGGGAAGCTTGAGTACTGAGTTTGGAACAACCATCAGCTTACCGTTGGCACGAAGCTGATGGTGTACAAATCCATGGTGCCATCCGTTCTTCTATACGGCAGTGAAACGTGGACGATGTACCGTCGGGATGTGCGGTATCTCGACCGTTTCCATCAGCAGTGTCTGCGACGAATTTTGTTTATCGGTAGAGCGACAGAGTTGCAGACACGGAAGTTTTGCGCCGAAGTGGGATGTATAAAGTGGACTGCATACTTTTGCTGAACCGCCTTAGGTGGCTCGGTCATGGGTAGCTTATGGATTCGAGGAGGATACCGAAACAAGTATTATATGGTTAACTGAGTTTTTGGAAGCAGCATGCGGGGAAACCAAGATATCGTTTCCAGGACATGATCAAATTGAGCCTCTCATGTTCTAACCTTGATTGCAAGTCACGGGAATCGCACAAGGTTGATCGGCGTGCATGGCGCGATCTGATCGCAAAGGCAGTTGCTGGATAGCAGGAGAAAGACCTCATACATGCAGAGAAGAAGCGGCAAGCACCGATGAATTGTACTCCATCGACATCGAGCGCATGGTGCTTTAGCACATGCGGTCGCGAGTGCCTGAGTCAGGCAATCCTAGTGAGCCATGAGCTAGGCTACTCAGGACCACTACCGAAGTGAGGACGGGTCCTGCAGAGAACGTAGGCAAAACCGGTGCAGCGTTTGTAGGTACGCTGCATTCGATTTACTAACCGCGTGCTTGTATGCTGAGTCTCTTTATTTCCGGTGTTGGGTTTTCAATTTTGTTTTAATGCTTTTC